GTTTCATTGGTAATGGGGGTATGATTATCACTTCTTGAACATTGTGTGTTTTCTTTTGCAGTCCGCGAAACTCAAGCTCGAACGAAGTTGAACTTCGCACCAACGGCATCAAATTCATTTCACCAAACTTCTCATCTTGCCAAGGCTCGGACGAAGGGGGAAATTGTTGGACTTGGCCCACATAGCCTGAAGCCCACCATCGTTAAGCCTATCAAAGGCCTTTTAATGACAGCCCACTGCAGCCTCCCAAGTCATTATCATCCTTCACCTTGGCTCGTCAATCTCCAAAAGCAGAAGTCCCAAAAGTGCTCCTTTTTCACAAAGCCAGCTCCAAAAACAGAGAAATAGGCATACTGCCATTTCAGAGCACGAAGTCGGTCACCTCTCGCCCTCCAAGAGCCCTTTTGCACCCCTTGATGGAAGCTTCATCATCACCATCTTCTAGTTCCTCAGCGGTCATCTTCCCGAAGCTCTATTGAAGAGCTACGAATCCATCTTCTTAGATTTGATAGTTCGGCAACGGGAAAGAGGGATTCTTTTGGGTTGTTGATGGGTCCAGGTTTGCTAGTTTACTCTGTAGATTACAGGAGCAATGGCTGGGTAATCTAAGAGTGTTGAGTTTTCTAGTTCCCTACAATAGCTTGGGTTATAGTGATTATGATCTGGATAGCCGGGTGGGTTATAGTGATCTATATCTGGGTAACCAAGTGTTGTGAGGGTTCTGAGCTCTTTTTCTGTTCTTCATTTTCTGCTCTTCATCTTCTTCTTTACTCTCTTGTTTAAAGCAGATTTCTTCTCTTCCAATTCTAATAATATTTTTAGTTTCATTTTCATCCTATGTTCTTTCCAATCAAAAGTCTTCAAAAGCCCCATCCTTTGATTCAACACATCTATCCTCACCTTATGCACCGCAGTCAGAGGCTGAAAAAGCGTACATGTCGAGAGTCCCATATGCTAGTGCAGTAGGTAGCTTGATGTACGCTATAGTATGCACTAGACCTGATGTTGCACATGTTAGTGTTGTCAGCAGGTTCATGATACAAACTGGGAAGGAGCATTGGCAGGCTGTGAAGAGGATCTTTTGGTACCTTAAGGGTACACCTGATGTGGGGATTAGCTTCGGAAGTGATACAGAGTGCTTGGTGCTGACTCGGACTATGCTAGAGATGTTGACACGAAGAGATCGATGATCGGTTATGTATTCAGTCTTGGGAGTTCTGTAGTGAGCTGGAAGGCAACTTTGCAGTCAACAGTGACATTGTCTACTACTGAGGTAGAGTATATAAAGTTGACAGAAGCTACTAAGTAGGGAATATGGTTGAAGGGACTGGTTGGTGATCTGGGTCTACATCATGATCAGGCAGTGGTGTATTGCGACAGTTTGAATGCAATATGCTTGGCCAAGGATCAAGTCCACCATGAGAGGACTAAGCACATTGACGTGAGGTATCATTTCTTGAGGACAGAGAAGAGGATTAAGGTGATGAAGGTTGGCACAACGGATAATCCTGCTGATATGTTCACGAAGCCGGTTCCACATGGCAAGTTCCAACACTGCTTGGACTTGCTGAATGTCTTGAGTGGGTGACTCCGCCCTACGAGGCATTGATGGTGGGAGAGAGAGAGAAGGAGTAGAGTACATCAGAGATTTAAAAGGAAGAGGATTCAAGTCAAGGTGGAGATTTGTTAATGTGACTTGAATCGGACTATCAGCCGCTACAACTGGATTAGTCGAGGGTCTCGCTGTTTAAAAACTCTCTTTCGTATTCTTGCTTTCTCGATTCTGGTGATTTCCCGATCCGTAGCTACGCGTTTATAAAAACTCTCTTACCATCTAAATTAAAGAGGAAGCTCAGGTTAGCCTCTTTTATAGCTTAACTTGACAATTTCTTAGAGGAGATACAATCACGATTCACAATTCTAGAACAACCATCTCAGATAATACAATTTTATGGAAACAACACTAATTAAACACCCAAATTACAATTATGTAGATGTGTAGATTAAGAAAAATATAAGGATTAAGGAGGGAGCTTACTTGGCACGCGGTTTTGATGAGCAAAAATCCGACAATGAATTCCAGGTGGAGATGTCCAATCGATCGGGTATAGACATGCGTATATATCAAAATGCTATATTACAAACACAAAGAGTACGGTTAGTCCTTCCCATGACAATATATGCTCACCATGTATTTATTCCTTGCAGAGAGAAGGATATCAAACCATCTTGTATCTGCTCCAATTATGACTATCACTCGTTCTTTTTATATTGTAGTAATTATAACCCCACTTTTAAAAACTTATTTGCAATCATGAGATTATTTCACTCAAAAGAAACCATATTTTATATGGTGAAGATCAGCATTATAGCTTGAATAATTCAATTTGGCAATGATCTCAGCTTTTACATATAAATTTTGTGTAAAACTTGTATGATTGAAGCTATTCCTTGTGTTAACACTAATCAAAATAGTCTTTGTTTACTTCAAACTAACCACAAAAATATTTCAAATCAGAAAAGTGATGATACTTAAAAGGAGTATCATAACAATAGCAACAAAAACTGTAGCTATTTATCTTTAATAAGCTAAAATGTAAACCTAGAAGATCAACCAAATGAACGGATGTTCATAGATCACACATTACTGTCAAAGAAACTAAATAACCCATCAATCAGCTCTCCAAGCAAGAACACTCAACCTTTCCATGTTTAACCCTCCGAAAATTGCTTTGCGTAACAATATAGGTGGAGGAGGTTAGGCGGTTGTCGAGTCCGATGGGAAGATTTGGAGAGACGACGATGATTGAGCGTTTAGGAGGCCGGGAGCCCAAGACACTGTTTATCTTTAATCAAATCAAAATTCATCCTAGAAGATCAACCAATTGAATTTATGTTAAGGGATCACACATAACTGTCAAAGAAGCTAAATAACCCAGAAGTCAGCTCTCCAAGCAAGAACACTCAACCTTTCCATATTTACCCCTCCGAAAATTACTTTGCGTAACAATATAGGTAGAGGAGGTTAGGCGATTATCGAGTCCGGTGGGAAGGTTTGGAGAGACGGCGATAATTGAGCGTTTAGTAGGTCGGAACACCATTTAGACGCGTTTACATTAGTTGCGCATTTTCAATCCGCATTCGACAAACCAACATCACTTAACATTTCCATATTTACCATTCTCTTAAAGACACATGTGTCTCATATTCACTCAAAACTTCTATGTTAAAATATATTGTTGCTTTATGGTAGTTATATTATTTAAGTTATGTGAAGAATTCTGCAACGCTTCTACACATTCAATACTGCAATTCAATGTGCAATATTTGCACCAATGACATTATGCTTGCGATTTTAAAATTATTCCCCTTTTATAAGATAAATAGGAATAGAATTAATTATTAAACTCGAATTAAAATAATAAAAGTATGAAAAATAGAAGTATCAAATGCCAAAAAAATATTTAGGGGAGAGTTAGTGGCTTAACTAACTGTGATGAAAAATTCATATGATTTTTCATATTTAAGCTTTCTGTATGTTTTTAATTTAAAATGTTTAAATAAATTTGTTTAGTATAACTGGTTATGTTTCTAGTCTTTTCTCAAAGAGATCACAATGCAAATCCCATCAATTATTTATTTTTCCTGTAAATAAGAAAATAATAAACTATTGTGAATACGAATCTACCCTTCTTACTTTTGCTATGGATGCAGGAATTTTGTAATGGGGGAAGCACATTTCCCATTTCACTATAATATTAGGTGTAGCGAAAGTAACTCGATTGGTTGAGCGTTTAGTAGCTCAGACCAATGTAGTCAAAAGTGAGTTTCTATGTAGAAACGTTTTGGTGATCTAGAAGCGTAAAATCGTAAGTTTTTAAGTTTTAAAGCGGAGTTTTTAACGACATAAGTTATAAAAATTGTGATTTTGTGTAGAAGCGTTTTAGTGACCTAGAAACGTAAAATCGTAAGTTTTTAAGTTTTAAAGCGCGATTTTGACTACATTGGCTCAGACACTATTTGAGCCCGTTTACATGAGTAGTATCTTTTCCATCCGCGTTCGACAAACCAACATCACTCAAACTTTTCCATATTTACCCCTCTTAAAGACACATGTGCCACATATTCACTCAAAAGTTTCGTGTTTAAAAATATCTTTCCTTTATGGTAGTTATAACAATTAAGTCTACGTTAAGAATTCTACATCGCTTTTACACATTTAAGAGTGCAACTCGATATGCAATATTTGAATCAATGACATTTAGGTTTCTAACCATGGTGGAAAAGTCCTATAATTTTTTAGATTTAAGTATCCTGTATGTTTTTAATTGAAAAAGATCACATAAATTTGTATATTGTAACTGATTATGTTTCTTATCTTTGTTCGAAGAGTTCATAGTTCAAATCTCGTTACTGAGGTATTTTTTCTGTAACTAACAAAATAATTAATGACTGTGAAGATGAATCTACTCTTCTGTAACTAACAAATAATAAATGACTGTGAAGATGAATCTACTCTTCCTATTTTCACTCTAGATGTACGAAATTTGAAATAAGACTTTAAGTTTTCTCATTTGTCTTTTATTTATTGCTTAGATAGATTCTCATATTATAGTTTGACTATATTCTCTTATAAAATATGAGTACCAAATTCTTGCTACTCTAGTCAAATATCATTATCTTGAATCCCTCCATTTAGGACCTTTTTTAATAGACTCCATCTGAATTTGGAGCTTCCTATCTTGCTTATGAATCATGATCTGGCCTTTCACAATCGGTCCAAAACATCTACAAAAATGAATCTAACTTAGTACAAAACCGAGTTTATTGAACGCCGACTTTGAGGTTTGCCCTCATCTTCCCTTTGGTCACCACTTCAACTCCAAGTTATACATCATCGAGATTCCATTTACTGGGAAATGATGAGAAAATCCAGCTATACTTCTCTCCTTATACCAACACCTCCATATTCATACTTTTTGTTGAGATCTCAAGCCGATACCTTAGGTTATAACCACTCGAATTTCGCTAGAAACATCTTAGAAGGATAATCACTACAACAGCAATTCATTCAGCTCAGTACCTTCAGCATACTGATCTCCCTATCAATTCATCGGGACAATATCCTCGTGTGATATTTCAAGCAAAATTACGGTATAGTTCTCAACTTTGATCCTCAAATATATTCTAGGTAGCTAGATTACAGAAACATGTGTTCTTCTCTAAATCTTCTCCTCTTAGAGTGTACAAGTACAAGTACAACCTAATCTCATTTGTTACTCATATTTTGGATCAGCCACTACATAGTGGTAAACAATTACCAGGAGAAAGATGAAGATGCCAAGAAAATTGGCAAAAAACCCGAGATCTTGGTCGTCGAACATCTGCAGAATCCAACAACAAAAAAACCAGCATTCGATCATATCTAAATCAGATCTCCACTAATAAGACAACATAATCTGAAAATTTTGCTGCGGTATCTGCCACTAAGAATGGCAGACCAGTAGAACTTCATGCTTTTCCAGGTCAGCCACTGTTTAGGTAGAGAAAATAGCAATTTCCTACTATATTTTGATGGTTGGTAAGGCCAGCTGCTATTGAATCCTAACCATCTTTACATACTAAATGGGTTTCATAACTCCAAAAAACAGATCATTCGTAATCGACTTAACACAATGAAACATAAGAAACACATATATCAACCGACTGTAACGCTTAAGGTTCCACAGAGTTTAATCTAACATCCACAGGACACTAGATAATCAATAAGATTGCGGAGTAACTGCAAAAGGAAACAAACTATGGACAGGCGAATCCTGGCAATCCCTTCATAACCCGAAAATCACCCATTTGCAACTTGACAAAAGTAGCATTGAGTGAAAATCAAAACAAGGAGCGAAAATTCAGATCAAGGAGCATCCAGACTGCCAATAAAAAGGGGAAACAACAGTATGATCACAGTGGGATTTGAACCCACGACCTTTAGATTCGGAGTCTAACGCGATAATCCACTTCGCTATGCGATCTTCCCGTGCTCTTCTGTCTCATTCTAACTAGTTTGCTAGTTGTGGGTTCATAATACAGACAAGGGAACAGAATTCATTCGGGGGACCAGCAAGTAGGAAAAAAGGGAGAACAAAACAAAACCTATTACGCCAGATCTCTAACTTTGAGATCCGAACGGGGATCGGAGATCGGCCGTCCAGATGCCAAAAATTGAGAAATAATCAGAGTTGGAAGGAGAAACAAAATAATCGCCGGACATACCGTCGCCGCCTTAGTTTGATCGGAGAGAAATGGCGGAAGTAGCCTACAGCCGGCAGAGAAGAAGGAATGCGAATGGAGAGGGGAAACGGTAGTTTTCTGGATCCTTGGCGTTCTTGTTGCTCCCGCCGCGATCTGTTCTTCTTCTCCAGGGTTTACTTTAGCCGTCCAGTCAGTGGGAACGGAAAGTGATTTAGTGACACCAAATGAGTTTTAAGTTTGAACAACCGCAGCGTGGGTTCATCGAGTCATAGGCCCGTAGTTGGGCCCACTGGGGGAGTTGGCCCATGAAGTAAGATGTTTTCTGAACGGTTACAACTCAAGAGTAAGAAGCAAATTTTTTAAAGGAAATAGTAAAAATTCAGGAAAAAATCACAAAATACACATGTTTTTAAAAAAAATTCAAAATACACATGTTATAAAAAAAATTCACAAAATATACATGTTTGGGCATCACCGCTGTCGTCAACCGTAGTGAATACATTCACCGTAACAGACCAAAGCGGTGAATACATCATCGCGGTTGGGCATCACCGCTGTCGTCAACCGTAGTGAATACATTCACCGTAACAGACCAAAGCGGTGAATACATCATCGCGGTTGACGGCCGCAGTGAATACCTGACGTAACATTGGAACTTCAAACAAACGTAACTTTGCGCTCGATTATTCAATTGTAGTGATTTTTTTTTATTTCACATAACTTTTCAAGATCTTTCAATCTGAAACAAGCCTTCATCCAAAAAAAAAAAACCGTTTGCTACCCGAATGAGCAATTTTTCGATTTCGACAAACTTTAGAAGACCATAACTTTGTGCTCCACAATCCGAATGTGATGAAACTTTTTTTTATTTGCATAACTTTTGAAGGACTACAACTTTGATTATAACCATAATTTGGAAAGTATGTGGATTTGTGAAACGTGAAGTCAAAGTTATTCCCAAAATCCCGTATACCTAAAAATATTTCTTTCCTAGTAAAAGCTATAGTTCTTAAAAAGTTATGCGCAATAAAAAAAAACTTTACGACGTTCGGATTGAGGAGTTAAAAGTTATGGCCTTTCAAAGTTTGGAAAAATCGAAAAATTGCTCGTTCGTGATAACAAACGACATTTTTTTAGATGAAAGCTTGTTGCAGATTGAAATATCTTGAAAAATTATATGGAATAAAAAAAAACTCGCTACAATCTGATAATCCAACGCAAAGTTACGCTTGTTTGAAGTTTCAGTGTTACACTTACGTCAGGCATTCACCACGACCGTCAACCGCGGTGATGCATTCACCACTTTCGTCTCCCGCGGTGAATGCATTCACTGCGGTCGACGACAGCGGTGATTCCCAAACATGTATATTTTGAGAATTTTTTTTATAAGGTTTGTATTTTGCGAAGCATCATCCAAAAATTTACTCCCGGTTAAAAGAAAGAAAAGGAGAAGCATCAAACAAACGTGAGCTGTATCCACCGTGGCAGATAACGGTTACGGTCTCTGACGGATTAAAACTTCCCAACACGCAACTAGCTAAACAAGGCCAGAATCATGTGCCCCTCTTCCTAGTACACTTTTTCCGTTTACCGCTCCCCGGACTCACCGCACAAAATTTCCGCGTTAAATCAGACGCGGTCTATCCAACAGATGAACTCAAAATGACGTGGCTGATACCCAATGACAAGCTCAATCTACGTACTGTGAACCGGGCCGCAGGGGATTACCACTTCTTGACGGAGTAAATTCCGGGGACGTAATCTTTAAACATTTAAGCCACAGATGACGTTAGAACATGTAAACAACTCACGATGACGTGGCCTGTCGCAATTGGCTAGTACCCGACAAACACGCAAACAAAGAAAAAAGAGAAAACCCGGGAAAACAGCTCGCTGGCGGAGTCGGAGTCTTGACCCGAACCGAAACGGTGACGGTGCAGCTGACTCGAAGCTCCGTAGCTTGGGTGAACGTCGAATTCCTCGTATAAATTCAGTCAATTCATAGTCTGTCACCTTCAGAACTCGTTCTCTTTGAATCGAGAAAGAGAGAGAGATATATATCTCCGTTTTCCTGAACAAGACGGAATAGCAGATTCTCTGTATTGGCAGAGATACAATCCCACTGGTAATTACGATCACTCAATTTTCTAAGAGTGTGTAAAATTTGGGGTTCTTTTAGGATTTAGATTCAGATCCGAGATTTTTTTGTTTGTTGTGCAATGTGGGTTGTCGTTGGTTTGAAGCTTTCGCTTCGGTTGAGGATGCTTTCCTTGTTTTGTAAGGTTCGTTCCCAATGATGTTTGTTGCGGCTGCTGCTCTGTTTTTCCTCCGTTCCATCACACCGAGTTTGGTGGAGTTGTTAGTGTGGTTGATTAGTTTTTGCTTTGTTGGTGATTATTTTAGTCTAGTCTAATTCATTGCAGATTTCAATTTCGGTTTGTATAAAGCTGCTGTCTTTCTGTGTCATTACATCTCACAGCCAGCGGTTTTAGATATTTTCACCTAGTATTCTGATCTGGGTTCTGAATTTCTTAGGTTGGTTTTCTGCATTTGATGTTTGCGTCTTTCATTTTTGTTTTTCTTTTAGGGTGTCTGCCCCTTGTTAATGGCATTTCATGATTCTTCATTTGGGTGATTGCATTTGCAGTGGAGAATGTTGTGGGGCTGACTTTTGCATTTGGTAATTTGTTTGTTTTAGGGTATCGGAAATTTTGATTCACAAGAATGGCTCAGCCCAATGGAGATCACAACGCTGCAGCTAAGCCACCACCAACTCCATCTCCCTTGAGATTCTCCAAGTTCTTTCAGGTAATTTTTTGTGTGTGCATTGGGTGATTGGTTCTTCAGAGATGGATCTTAGATTAAAAAGAACTGTGAATTGATTTTGTGGCAGTCCAACATGAGGATTTTGGTCACTGGAGGAGCCGGGTTCATTGGCTCCCACCTTGTTGACAAGTTGATGGAGAACGAAAAGAATGAGGTAATAACAAGGCTTTCATTAATGGCTTTGAACTGTGTCTCGTGTTCTGTAACTATGGAGCAATGCAACTTAATGGGCATGAAAAATGTGCTTGATTCTTGTTTCTCACAGGTGATTGTTGCTGACAATTACTTCACTGGCTCAAAGGACAACCTTAAGAAGTGGATTGGTCATCCGAGATTCGAGCTCATCCGTCATGGTAACTACTTACAGTCTTTCAGACTGTTTGATGGTAATGGGAAAAGTTTGATATCAATTCTTGTTCTTGTCTTGTGCAGATGTGACTGAACCTTTGCTGGTTGAAGTTGATCAAATTTACCACCTTGCCTGCCCAGCTTCTCCAATATTCTACAAGTACAACCCTGTGAAGGTATAAATCATATATGTCTGCTTAACAAAGCTTGTGTCTTTGATCTCCTATGAAAGATCGTTGTTCAAGGCATGTGTGCTCTTCTTTGACAGACCATTAAGACAAATGTGATTGGTACATTGAACATGTTGGGGCTTGCCAAGAGAGTTGGAGCTAGGTATATGGTGGTGTTTTGGTGAATCATTTTGATAACTGCTTCTTGTTCATTCACATTTTTATATTACTGATTGAAAGTGGTTGTTTATTCATAGGATTCTGTTGACCTCAACTTCTGAGGTTTATGGCGACCCCCTTATTCATCCTCAGGAGGAGAGCTACTGGGGAAATGTCAACCCCATTGGTAATTCATAATGTTCTATATTCTTGGCTTCCAGCATAAAATTAGTATGAAATGCATCCATTTAGCCTTGGGCATTCCTTCAAAGTTTAATCGCCTAGTTTTACTGTAAACTTATAGGAGTCAGGAGTTGCTACGATGAGGGAAAGCGAGTGGCAGAAACTTTGATGTTCGACTATCACAGGCAGCACGGCATTGGTACGTGGCTAGCTTTGTTTGAACATTTTGTTGTCTGGAGTTTATCGTCAGCCCATTGTTAACTGAGATTTGATAATAATGTTACCAGAGATCAGAATTGCCAGAATTTTCAACACTTATGGACCTCGTATGAACATTGATGATGGTCGTGTTGTCAGCAACTTCATTGCTCAAGCTCTTCGGTGGGTTCAGTTTTATTGATACTATCTGCGTCCCTTATTTATATGCCCTGCCAGAATGCAACTGACACCAAATTTACTGTCCAGCAACGAGCCTTTGACTGTTCAAGCACCCGGAACACAAACTCGAAGCTTTTGTTATGTCTCCGACATGGTACAGTTCTGTTCTCTGAATTTGATTAACCAATGGTTGGATTATACTCCTCTTTCGTGATTCACAAAGCTAACTCTTCCTGCTGTAAAGGTTGATGGTCTTATGAAGCTAATGAACGGAGAAAACACTGGGCCAATTAACATTGGAAATCCTGGCGAATTCACCATGATTGAGCTTGCTGAGAATGTCAAGGAGGTTAGTTCAATCAAGTCCTTTTACCAGTCCTGTTCTCCAAACAGTTTTAACCGGTTTGTATTCATCAATTCACTCATATCCCTTGTCGTGCAGCTCATCAATCCTAAGGTGGAGATAAAAATGGTGGAGAACACGCCAGACGATCCTCGCCAGAGAAAGCCGAACATCACAAAGGCCAGGGAATTGCTGAAATGGGAACCCAAGATCAAGCTGAAGGACGGGCTTCCACTAATGGAGGAAGATTTCAGGCTGAGACTTGGTGTCCCCAGAAACAACTGATCGAAATAACAAACAAAAACAAGGCTTAGACCTGCTGCTGCGATTGCTGTGGAGGAGTCCCCATCGATTGAGTTTCGTGTTCCTCTTCTTCTTTCTTTCCAGTATAGTACATTCACAATCATTTGTTCAAAGCTATAGTAGTTCATACCGGACTGCAGATGTCTTTTTACTGCTCTTGTTTGATCTCCTTAAGGTCATATCATAAGTTGATCATAAATCGAAAATTACAAGTTCCCGTTTGCCTCTTGTGCTTGTAGAAAACTCGCACTATTAATAGTACGAGTCTGTAAACTTCATAATCAAGATTTGCAAACTCCATATCATTAACAATATCAAAAGGAAAGCTTAAAAACAGCTAAAGAGCCATTTAAGATCAGCAGTTAAAAGACTCGAAAATTGCCTGAACACAGGCTAAAACATAACAGCAGCTTCAGTAACGAAAAGAGTTCGTCTTTGTCTACTTGATTTTGGCATACTGAAGCTTGCAACCTCCGAGCTCAACAGCAGCCTCGGTCCGATTCCTGCAGTCGTCGAGCAGCTTCCCCTCCGCCTTCCCCAGACAAGCGATGCAGTCGATGACATTGCAGCCGTCTTTGCAGCTCGCGCTGCCGGTGATCGACCCTGACTTGTCGTCGGGGATGTTGCTCGTCTTGTTATGACCACCTCCCTTCACGGACGTAATGCCGGCCAGTTCTGTTAGAGCTGTGCCTATGTACCCGGCAGTTTTCTTGTCCGTAGCTATGTCGCTGTTGCAGGTCGGCCCGCTGACAACGTCCAGGTTGGCGCTTCTTGCCGCCGCGATCAGCAGGACCATCACTGCTACGGCCAGTTTCATCGCTGAATACGCCATGGCAAGCCTCCTTCCTAGTTTCGAAGACAATTTATCCGCCACAGAGATCAATGTAAATGGTTAACTCTGATCACTCTACTCTGTAATGGTGTTGGTGGTGAGGAATTAAGCAACTGGTTGGATTTTGATTTATAGACCACGACTGTGACACAGGACAAATATGATGAATGGAAATGCTCTCGCTTGGTTGATTTTGAAATTTGGATGCCGCCATTTGTTTGATCGATGGGGACGAGTGAGTGAGTGAGTAACATGGAGAAATCGAATCCGCAAAGAGTCCGGAATTGCAATGGCCGTTTTGTTTTGTTTTGTTTTGGTTGCAAAGTCCATAGTTGTTGTTCTATCTGCAACCTTGTGCTCACTTCCACAGCTCATAACCGGAATTCGTTTCAAGAAATTCATAATTTCACAGCTTCATAATTTCACATCCGCCGGTTGATGCTAATGGCAATGGAACTATGCATTAGTTTACAATCATCGACTAGGCCGAAATGAATGGTACAAGCTGAGCTAACTTCGGCCGATCTAGCTAATGCTCATGTTAACGATTTTCTATCACGTCTTTGCACTTCTAGTTTCTTTCTTCCTACGCAAATCAAACTAACATTGACGTGACTCGATCATGTTTTTCAGAATTTTCGCTCAACATACGCCAATGAATCCTACTATGTTTGGGTGAAAATTCAACCTCGTCGAGACTTGGGATCACTAAGATAGCCTGGATAAAAGAAGTGACGTGTTCGCAAATTGCTGAAATGTAAACTCAAGAGGATGGCTTAGCTTCATATCAAATCTCCAGGTAAATGTCTAGTCCCCTGGCGTATTCGCCAGTTCTCGAAATTTTACTACAATACTTTTACCAAAATGAACTTGAAGTAAATCTAATCCAAAACAAAAAAGAAAGGGGGAGAAGAGAGGGTTACAAAACACCAAATAAACAACAGCCTATAAATTATATCTCCGCAACCCCAAGACGTGAACAGAAGAATACTTCATTTGAGACAGTATGAACAGAAGGATGTTAGACATAAATGAATAAATGCACTAGTATAGTACTATTCTATCTTCAGGGTGAAGAACGACACCCTTCTCGAGAGGCATGGAGCCGTTTCGGCAGTTTAGGTGAGCTTTCGCCAGTTAAAACCTTTTTGAGCAGCTAAAGATTTCACCCTCGGGAACACGAAACCTGTCCTCGGTGGGTTACCGTCCTCAAGCGAATTCTCGTATATCTCTTTGCACTCTTGCACCACCTGTACTCAAAAACAACGACAACAACAAAACCACAGTCACACAACGTAGACGAGAACAAACTCCACAGCTGCAATCCAATCAAACTCCACTATGCACTCTGTAAAGTCGAGGATAATACTCGTGCACAAAGGATGTTTTGCTGGAGAATCTATGAGATCAATGGACATACCTCTTTGGCATCCTTTCGAGGTATTCCCTCCCGCAACGCAACAATCTTCTCGACCACATCAGGCTGCCCAACAAAATGAAAGCAAAATCCATACCTTGTCACGTAAAGGTTTTTTTCCTTTTCTTTTTGGGCTTTGCCCGACTCTTTTGAGCAAACTATGAGAGTACCGATAGAGAATTATAGAGCGAAAGAGGGGTATGTACCGGGCAGTCTGGTTGATGTTCCAGAATGTTAGTGTACACAAGTGTAAACGTATCCAAGCTTTCTGCTGAAGCAAGTTCTCTCAAGTCGCTCATTATCCTCACTCTGTTCTCCACTTTCTGGTGCAAAGCCAGATTAAAATTAGTAATAAAGTACAGGAAAAGGACAACCAACAATGTAAGCGGATATCTCTCAGAAGTGATTGCTCAAAGATAAAAGGCAGCAGCACTTACAGAGACACTAATATACTCGCGGAAGAAGTCCATGATCACCTCCTCATCAAGCCTCATCCGCTCTATGGTCTCTTCTTTTATGTAGTTTTTCTACAAACATCATCACATGACATTAGGAACTGGCTTAAACAGAAGGATAAAAGAGATCTATTGGCATTCTCTATCAACGACAGAAAAATGTTGTGCAATATTACTGCTCTTGAGAATAGATCCAAACCTGCGTCATAAGATGATCAACATAAACCACCACTGTCTCCTCCACACAAGCCTCCACAAATCTCCTAAACGATCTTTCCTCAATGTACCTACCCATAAAAAAAAATCACGAAATCATCTAATTGGTCTTCTTCAAATAAAATATAGACAAGACGTTAATATCAATATTTTGTTAACAAATGAATCATCTAGAGTGATCAGCATTAAGCGCAATGCAGGGTATGTTGAATTCCCTAAAAAACTAGAAAATGAACCCTTAGTTTATCATAACTAATTATGCCAACCTCACTTTTTCAGAAAATGGAGAAATAATATGACATACTTTGTATTTGAAACCCTCTGATATATTATTTGAATGGGTAGATTTAAATGTCTCATGCTTTCATATTTACTATTTAGGCAATCAATATATATAAACACAAGTTTAGAGTAAATTATTTGAAACTGTAATCGCTCAATGCATCTACCACATTGAAATCTTTCTGCATTGGAACTGACATCAAGCAAAGAGTTATCTGGTGTGGCTCGGCAGGGTCTAATTAAATACGAACAAGAATCGGGTGGCCTCAGAGACAATAAAAATTCGTAGCTAGATAGCCAAACCCAGACACGGCCCAATTATTCCGAGCTCAACATGGATCAAGCTTGATGCAAAGTTACAACCCAACTCCGAATTTTTACAAAAAGTAAGGAACAGTCAGAACTATGCTTTCCCCCGAAAACTACAAGGCATGGAAACAAATGTTGCAGAAACACCACTGAAAGGCCATGAGGGAGCTTACATTTTTACGTCTGCGAAGTAATCACCAAACGTTGCAACAAGGTATTCGGTGACTTGTCCTTCCGACCAGTCTGAGACATAGAAACCCCAGATTCAGAAGCAAGATACAAAGAACACCCAAAGCAAACAACAATCCATCAAGCTAAGTCCTCCCTTGCTCATTCTTAGAAACAGTAAAATGATTGCCTTATTTTAGAACATCCAAAACTCCCTAAGACATAGGGCTGCAATAAGAGTAGATCAGAGCTGGCTTGCCGAGATACTGCTTATTCATGTCTTAAGGAAACTTCAATACATATCAATTGAAAGATGAAATCATATAAAATTCCTGACAAACTTTAAGCCAACAAAAAACATTTGCATCATCTACTGAAGCACACATCTGACTTTTAATTCTGCAGATATACAAGCCACACCGATGAGGTTGGTAATGAGGTTTTTCTATAAGCCCAAGAGACCATGGTTACAAGTTCTGAAAGATTAACATTAATCAAAAGAAGGTTCAGACAGTTGAAAAACTTCGATAATACTTCGAGTGATCATTTCCAAAACTTAGTTGTATACATGCTAGAAGGACCATCAATGAACAACTGAGACATCGAATTGTCGGTTTCAAGATGACAGATGGCTGGTACCCAGCCAGCAATTTTTTTATTATGTAAAAGATGCTTCAAGAAATCGCTACACTCCTAGCTTCCAGGTGCTAGCTGAATGTATTTACAAACATGGTTAGTCACTACAGTGAAATTGCAATCCACTAGGATTTTGAGGCAGGTGAATCAAATTTGACCAAATTCCTCTACCTTGTTTAATAATGTGTGTTCTTCAAAAGAAAATTATGAAGCCAACTGCGATAACACTTTCTACAATAACAGAGTTTAATCAGTTACTTTGGACTTCTAGAAACATTGCCAATGAAGCAGTACTAGCGTATATCATAGTGACCACAGCACAACATAACTGCCAGATGCATGTATCTGATGAAAGGTCAACCTAATCCAACAATTCAGTTCAAAAAGGGAATAAGGAGGATATTGGTTTACCTTTCTGATAAAGCTTGACAAGCAACTCTTCAACCCCTGGATCTTCAAAGATAACTTTAACTGTTTGATGCACTGCTTCCTATAAATACAATAATTTGCAGAAGAATGCTAGATATTAAATTCGATTTCTAAAAGTTGATGTGGCATGCAAAATAATACACACACACATCCTAGCATAGTATGGCATAACTTTGCTAACTCTCCGTTTTCTCTACCCATTAAATACCCCACTCTTGGTTCCATCAAAGGCTTGCAGGTCCAATAGTCCCTGAAAAATGACATGCTGATCCGCTAGTCCCTGAATGAATTGTTGGCTTTGCTGAACAGCCAACCCCCTTGTTGTGGTCCGCGTGGCTTAAAACAAGGTGGCAAGTGTAGGTAGTGTTAATTGTGTTGATTGAGGAGAAGAGGGGCTGCTGACCCGAAATATAGGTTCTAGGCCGACTGTCTAGGAATAGGTTAAGGAGACAGGCAGGGTTAAAAAGAAAACCTCAAGGGACCATGTAGCGTTTCAGCAAAAATAAAATATTTGGAAGAAAAAAGATGCAACAAAAGCAATTTTGATCTTTGTACCTTTGTGACCTCCAAGAAGCCTTTACAAGTATCTTCAAAATTAACCTGTTCAAAGGGAGGACACTCAGTTCAAGAACCCAAAATAACTGAAGAGCACATGCACGTGCAGTTTCTATTATGCGCTTCGTTAATTGCCTTAGTAATATTGCATTCATGAACCTCAAAGGGTTAACCTATTAGTCATGGGTGGCGAAAAGCATCCAATGCAACTTAGGTTCAGACCTGGTGGTAAAAATTAATCTATCAAACAAATAGCATCCAGATCATGACACAATTAATATATTACTACTGTAAGAAATCTTATGACTAATGAAGAGGGTGGCAATTCGTGTTTAAAGATGGCATGGACTTACTTAGGCCAGGCTGTGTAATTTAGAGGGACAACTTGTTGAAGTGTGCATATGATTTTACCCGCCAATGTTTCTATATCCATAATGCATTAAGAATTTGATACATATAGGGCTAAGTAGTAAAGGGTGGGATATATCAAAATGAAAACAGTATTCACAAACACATTTGGGGTTGATGTAATCAAGACAGAGACCAGGTTGCTTGACTGAATACATGGTTGGGAACAATATAATGACCTGCTCAGCATAATTCTGTGGAAGTGCTTCAATTATGCTTGTACTTAACTCCATTGCAAGGTCGTAGCAACGCAGATTATTATTTATCTGCAGATAATTGTAGTTGTGAGTCAACTGCATACAGAACTTACCAACATCATCAAGATCAATAAATAATATAGGTAGTAGTGTACCATTGCACACAGAGGCTCCAAACCGATTTCAGAAGCTGGTTCTTGGAGCCTTTTCTTTTCAGCTGCTTGAAAATCTATCATCACCTAAGAAACACCAGTAAATAATGCAAATGAAGATGGCACTCCATAGACTTTTACACAAAGGAACTTAAATCAGATAGGAAAAACAAGAACTACAATAAACACAAAGATGCAACCCTAAGCACTGTATAACTGAGCTAAATCAGCATTGGCCCTAAATTTCAACAGTTGCACTTTGATTTCGACAGGATGAAGGCTGGGTTCCTAATAGCAACATAAGACCTTTATATGAGGAAAATAACGAAAAACATCCGGTGAAACAACTATTTCCAATAATAATAAATTCAGCCCTCGTTCCTGGCTCCTTCCAGCAGTTGAAGAATTATTTTTGTTAATTAGCGAAGAAGATTAAAACAGAATTATTACTCTAGTGGTCAATGATGAACCGAACATGTATATGAGAACTTGTAATGTAATACAGCTAACTCCATAAAATTTTACTTTACTTGCCTGAATAATAGCCAAAGAAATTCTATAAAGCATGACATCAGTGCTATTGTCCCTAACAATTTGAACTTGCTCCCCAAGAATCCTGAACAAGTCGACAGCAGCTGGAGTGTACAACTTCCCATCCTCTGTTTTCTTTGGCGGCTGTACTTTATCAGCTTCTAGTATATTCAAGTACCATTTCTACACAAGTAATGCAACTAATTAGAACCATAAGACAAATAAATTTCACTTCACAATTTTAGTAATAAGGAGTGTAACTTATCAGTCATTACCTTTGTTGTAGCTTGCATTCTCTCAACATAAGAATTCATGAGGGGATCCATCGCACCACTCTCCGAACATACTTGTGCCAAGGTTTCATCAACGCCAAGTCCAATCAGATTATCTTGGTATTCAACCACCCAACCTGTAACCTAGTGGTAGTAGATCAAAATTGTTACCAATGAAATCGAAAGGACAAGTGCAGCCCTCAATGAAACTTCTTTTTGCCAACAAGAAGAGAAACACCAACAATATACAGAAAAGGTCATAACTTGCTTTCCCAGCAAACCACATACACTGAGGCAGGCAGCTCTTAGTTTCCTATGACAGAGATGAGTTTTTATTATTCCGCATATGAGTCCTCACCAGAAGGGGTGGGAATGACAGCATGTCAGTAATACTGAATTTCCAATCTATTTAAAAGCAAATACGTAAGTGATATAAATACCAATACTAAGAGACCAGGGAGCAGAGAAATAAGTAGCATCTAACAGCACCCCCTATGTTTCTGAGTGAATGAGAAAACTTATTAGAGAACACTAAGCAACATCAATGACAACCAGCTATTTAACAGAGACCAATAAATAATGTGTGATCTATGTTAGATGATGACATTTAGTTCAGACATTGTTTTCACACAGTATCAGCAGTCTCTTGAAACATTCCGAGGATGGCATTCACAGCTAGTTTGAAACTCTAAATCCTATGACAAACAGCATAAAATCCACCAATCGTGCCAGTGAAACGATAAAACTTAGGTGCTTAAAAAAATCAATAATTTCTTAAAGCAAGGAGCTGCATTGAAATTTAGGTAATGTTACAACTATTCCAAGACACGAGTGAAAAAAACACTTCACACTAAATGCGAAGACAAAGGAACAGCCAAGAACTGCAATTGGACTCTTATGCTAATCTACATTTAAAGAGATCAAGCTCGTCTCTTAATCACCACACATTAATTGTTCTTTAGTACAAGCTTCTATACCTTCAAAATCTCTATATTTGTGAGGTCATTGGCTCTGTCACTGAGCAATCGGAGCATCTGAATAAATCTCTCAGTATACAGATTCACCATGAGTTGGAATATTTCATATCTGCAAAAATGGCATATGTAACACGTGAGCATATGACTTAACCGACAAGCACAGGAAATAAAAACAGTAGATGATATTTAGCCCGAAAAGCTATCCCAGCGAAGTAAGAGTAAGAACATTTTTTATAATCTTTTCTTAAAAGGTAAGAAAGCATCTTAATTACATCAAATCAAGGAACGTGGAGAAAAATATCTACTATGGAGTAAGGGCAGAAGACAGAAACGAAAGCAACAGACAGCTGTGTGAGATAAACCTTGGAGGAAAACAAGGAGCCACAAAGTCATAAATGTCTCCAAGCTCTTCTCCGATCTGTATGTTAAGGGGAAGAAAGGGAAGTTCAGAAGTTCATTATTACTCGGCAATAGTCAAAACTAATAGTAATGATAGAATCACAAAAAGTTCACTATGCAATCACCTAGCCAAGTACAAAAAAAGAATGAGCACATTAATGATACCCACTGAATGCAGCATGACAGCATGAAAGTAGGAGCCTGCATGTACGGAAAACTAAAGGGGGGTGGGGGTGGAGTATCAATGCAGAAGAAGAGCAATGCTCATGAAGAAGAACATAGAACAAAAGTTCGAAATAAAACTGCAATTATACAGAATTATTGTAAGGTAGACTTACATGGGCAGAGGAATCCTACATCAGGCAAGTGGACTAGTTATGCAGAAACAAACTACGTATTGTGGGCTGAGAAACTCAGACTATACTAACTAGATCAACACTTTTACAAGAATGATATGTTAAGATAGCTATGTAGAGGACTCAATTATGCATACCGTTCGAGCTTCTTCTAAAGCAGCTTTCAGATCCTGGAATACTAGCTGCAGGATAAACAATGGTTAGAGAAATAATTTATATAACCAAATTCATCGCGTGAAAACAGCTAAAATTTAGAAACCTCAGTCAGCAGCTTATTGAACCGTGCCTCCGCCGCTTTTCGTATTGCCTCATAGCATTTGTCCTTATAACCTTTTCCCTGAGATTTTAATTTCTGTTGGACGACATTTTTCACAGCTGCTGCACCAGTAGTTTTTCTGCTTCATCGCAATTAATCCTTAATCAGCCCCTCAGCCATTTCAAGAATAAAGAAGAAATGCTGCTTCAAACTGTCAGTGTAATAGAATTTCACAAACATCAAAAACAAGAATTTTAATGACTTCAAGTAATTACTTTGCAGATCGAGTAGGATTTGCAACTGGTGTCACTGCATCAGCTCCCTCAGCCTCAGCTGCCTCCTCTGCAATTTGCTGATCAAGAATTTCTTGCATTTCAACGACTCTATAACAAGGTAGAAAATAGCCTTCATTAGAACATAAGTTCAACCACCCTGAGCTTGACCTTCAGCATATTTCAGATCATTTCAATTCCAATGAAAAAGATATATTTAATGAAATAATACAGCGGGAACCGAGATATTTTGTGAAGAGGATCGTTTCTACCAGCTAGTCATGTCTTTGTTGTTTAGAAAGCGAGTTGCAAGGATGACTGTCTGTTAAGAAAGTTATCTACGCTTGTATAGTGGCTTCAAAAAGAAAGATCAGGCTACAGTGCCGTAGAGAATCAAAAATTGCTTCCAGCAGTACCTTCTTACTAGCATTTAACATCTTCTCTTCTTCTTTTTACAAAACATAATTCGAACTGAGAAAAATTATCGGCTATTTTGAGACTGGAATAATTCAACTTTCTTCACCTGATACCACTAGGTGCTAAGTACAAACAAACCTTCATCACGTCAGGTAAACCTGGGCAGATTTATAAAAAGTCTAGAAACAAATGAACTGCAAACTGTTCTCCTTTCTTGTTCCTGATTGTAGAAGAGGCCTATGGTTGTTTATGCTTTGGGTGTCTTCACTAGAGGAAAATAGGGACTAAACTCTCTATCCTCCAAGATTTTCATCGTAATATATGAACACATTCAGTATTTGTTTGATACTGACAATAGAATTAGAAAGTCTATCAAAATGACTAAAGCATTTAGAGATCAGAAAATCTTGCCACACAACATACCTCAAACCACGAACCAGCGTTTGTGGGCTGCAAAAAAAAAAAAAAAAAACAAGATTCATCGACATCTATGGTAGAAAATTTCTAGGCATAAAACTTGTACTCACAAGCACAAATCTATTTGATATCTTCAAAAGAGAACCACATATCTAGATATAGTGCTCTCATATCCAAGTTGAAAAAACTCGTAAATATCCTAATGATGAGATTTCGATTGACAGATGCAAACAAAAGAAAATAAACATATTATTAAGGATTTCTTGTGCATGCTTTTAAAGGTTAAACTATATCGGTAGAAGATGGAATATTTACAGCTCATATGCTACTTCCACACGAACAGACTGGAAAACAAAAGCAAAAAGTCAAGGAAACCTTAAGATTTACCTTTCTTTAGCAAGCTTGTAATAGTTGGCAACATGGGCCCATAATGTCTTCTCAAAGGTCTCCCAACTCTGATCAACATCTTCAAAATATTCCCTAGACCCAGAAACAAGAAGAAGGTGTTACCTCAGCCCATAAGAATCAGCTATTCAAGCTCTACCCACGAAATGCTACCATACTGAGCTCAGATCAAAACAAAGGCATAAGAGAGACTAGTAAGGGCAGAAATCATGAGAAGTTACATAGCTCAAGATTTTCAGAAGGTATTGAATTATTTTCCAATTCTTCAGAATTCAAATGTTATGAACTCCAAATAGCATTCAGAGGAGAGCTGCTTCTACTTCAAGTCCACATTAAAATGTAAGCATGGAAAACTAGAAATTGGTTGGATAATTCCGATTGAAACCGAACATATTATCGGCCAATTTACAGTGAACGGCTCAATTGCGATACTAATCACCTTTTCTGTAAACTTGGATAGGAGAAGTAACCCTCTCAAAAAAAAATGACACTGTAAACAGTCATCTACAAATAGGAACATGCCTTCACTATACTACTCGAGCTAAGATAATTGTGTGAAATAAATACCAGTTAGAAAAAGGAGGACACAAGCACCCCCTCCAAAAAAGAAAACTTTTGGTAAGGTAAAAGAAGACAAACCTTAATTTTCCAACCTCTTCTGTATGAGATTCTACGGCTGCCAATGCAAACCTTCGCTTCCCGTCGAGTGCTGTTAACCTCTATGACAAAACAAGAAGAGCCCCGGATTTTTTATCTGGAAGAAAGTAAGACTTCTAGGCTAGAAACAAGGAAAATATCAGGCTACCTCATAAGTATTGACAAGTTCCCTATCATCACTCAATGAATCTCGAGCCGCTGTTGCTTCAACAGATATTGACATCATACCCTCAACATCCTGAATTCAAAGTGCAAGTGATACAATAAGAATCATATTCCAAGGGCTCAACGTATTCAACAGGGTTTAAATTTCCAACAGTCGAAGGTGCATCAGTAAAAACATCTTCACCGTACACGGGTATATACATTGACAAACTACAGAACGAATATCTCATCCATCATTTCACCATAAAGATACTTCTAAATTTTTAAAACTTGAATAATTGACAGTCAGTAGATCGCCAACTAGCACACTGAAATCTAACTTATTAGTCTGGATCTCAACAGACAAAGTAATGATATGGAAATGCAAGAACTAAAAATCAACTAATTTAGAGTCTAACTTATTAGCCTTCTTATATAGAGGTTGACATCACAAGAATGAACTGCTACTACTATTACCACTAGGAACTGAGTCTTCTACGACCAGGAAACAAATACTGACTCCTAATGGAAAATATAAAGAGAAAATTACTAAAAGACATCCTAAACCAATAATTGGAAAAATTAATCATCTTCTGAAAATCCCTGTAGGGAGAGGATTGTTGAGAAAAATTCCAATTCTGATATTCTGCATCTTACTTGAAGCTGGGTGGCTCTTCTAGCCTCTAGGGTGTTCTTAATAACAATTGTAAGTTGACTAAGCCTATTCCGACATGCATCCCTAAGATCAACAATGAACATAATATCATCTAGAGAGTTTAAATCTAAGTCCATGAGGAAGCTATAAAACAACCGTCTAAGATGAGCAATACAGCATATAAGTACAGTCTCAAGGCTAATGCCTAACATTACACAAGTGCAGGTTAGTTCAATGTTAATGCATCATGTAAAACCACTAAAGCAGTATCACTATTGGTTTAAATACAAATATATTACCAAAATTTATTTGTAAATCAAATAACAGGAGACGATCTATTGCACTTCAGTTTCCAAAATCCATATCTTACATCTACTTTATATCAAAATGTATGTTGGCATCACACACACAGCAAATAACTAAGAGAAAACAAAGTTCAATAGTGCAGTGACGTCGGAAGTACTTCTGTCCATAAAAAGACCACAATACATAAGAGGAATTGATTCCTTCATTTCTGAAAATTTCTAATTTGGTTTGAAACCGTCTCACCTTCAAGGTCATGTTGAGGTTATTCCTTGCATTGCTAAGGAGCTTTATCTGATCGTGGTTGTCAATTAAGGTTTGACACTCTTGACAAAGCCTGATAAATTGGCACAGGATCAGATGAAACAAACCAAAAGAGACTAATCTACATGTGTAAAGACTTATAAAAAATAATAAAACATCATGATGCACATAGGGGAAAATTCTAAAGCATTCTTAACAAGCAAAATAAACATAATATTATGAGTATACAGACAGTGTTCCATTTATCATATTGAACTCAAATAGAAGATTAGATTCTCATCAAATCATACCTCTCAATGCCGATAAAGTTCTCACGGAGTTGGTTTATCGTCGTCTGAGATGATGAAAGTGAGGCCAAGCCAGATTGTGCTTGTTCAACCTACATTGTGTAGCTCCAAGTCATTGACGACACAAAATGTCAAATATGAGTGAATAACAATGAAGAATGAATCATAGTATGTTTTCCACCAATACCTGCTCTGCTACCATTGTACTAAGCTGAGCATCATTAGCCTGGAGATGTATGTAAATGCAACCAAGTGTAAGAAACACGGTATTAATTCTTCCAAGAAGAACACAAATAAATGCACAAAGCAAGAAAGCCTAACAGAAAATAATAATGATTCAACAACAATGCAACAATTAATCACATTGATAACAGGTAGGCAGACAATGAACCTGTTGCCGTGAAATATAATCAGCTTTGATAGAGGCAATCGATTGCAACAGCTCAGGCAGAGGTAACAACTTGGCAACCTCGCGTACAGCAGCCTCCTTGGCTTCCACTCCAAGATCTTCGTCCATCATGTTTTAACTGTAACCATGTACGTTTGCTGAATTAAAGAACAGGAATACAAAGAGAAACCGCAGACGAAACTAGCGGAATGTCACAAATTCCATTCCGAAGTACCTTCAAAATCTACAAAGCAAACTGTTTATGCAGAAACTAGAAAAGCTTTCTTCCTCTCTCTGATGGTGAACTACCTGAGAGTGAATTAGGTAATTGAGCTCCAGGTAACATGAAACGCCGATAACCCACCAGCTACAGTATCAACTAGATCTGCTCTCGCCTCTCATCCTTCTATCTTCGTCCAGTGGCTCCCTTTCTGCATCTCTCAATAAATCAATAATTCAACTTTTGTAATTGAGAGCAGAGAATCTCCGCAAAATGGATAATGAATCGGGAAACTAGAAGAACAGACAGAATCGAAGAACAACTTTTTACCGTTGTATCCGGACACTTTTTAGACATCTATCCCGAAAAAAGTCCTCCCTCCACTGCTGCGGTGCGGGGCCAAAACTTCTGGAACCTTCCGTTTTTCCTCCTTCCCTTCTCCACCGTGGGAGCTCCTACATTTGCTGAATCGCCAGCGAAAAGAGAGACTCTCTCGATCTCTCTCGAGATCAGAAAATGAAAGCAGAGCGAAGATAGAAGAAGTGACCAACGCCCCCGTTGTTTTCTTCCTTACTTCCTTCTCTGTTCTTTTTCTTCTGTGTCTTCTTCTTCTACTACTCTGCCTTCGCTCTCGTTCCTGGTCTTTCTTGAATCTCTTTCGTCTCCTTTTCTTGTTCGTCCAGGGTGGTGTGAGAATGTAAGGGAAGAAGGGGAGGAAATTTTTCAGATTGGAAAATTAATTAATTTAATGAAAACAGAATCGCCTCTCTTTTTTTCTGAAATTTCGGGGCGTTGTTTAGGTTTCAAGATAGATAGGTGCAATAACCAAACCTGAACCCTTTATTTAGAAAACTTAAGAATGAAGAATTAAAGATTATTTTTATTTTTTCTAACTTTTTTAATTGACTCATATTTTTTTCGTTTTAACTCGGATTATAATTTTTTTCACAAAAAATTTTCAATATGAGATTAATTTTCAATATTTTTTTAGAACAAAAAATTTTGGCCTCTCGGTACCAATTGCATATCATATGGTATTTTCTTCGTTTTTAATTCGTTTTTGAAAACGTTTGCACAGAAGGGACGAGTTCATCATTATCTATTGGATCTACAAATTTCTGGGTGAACAAATTACATGACCAAAAAATACCACACAATACCATACAATACCACCCTGGTACGGGGTGGTATCTTATGGTACACAATGTTAAAAGTCGTAAATGACAGTTAATATATTTCTACTATCATTTATTCAACCATCCTACAGTCTTTGTTTGTTCAAACCACCATGGTACGCTTTTCAAACCATATGTATGCTCTTATTTCAATACCAAATACCATATGGTATAGACTGGTAAAAAATGGCTCAATTTTTTTGTTCGGAAAATATATCAAACTGGATATCATTTTGAAGAGCACAATTAATCTGATCTAACTGCGTAAAAAATTAAATTTCGACTTAAAACGAGTCAGAAATCGTCCGTCAAAGATTAAGGAGGGGAAAATTAAAGACTTTCCAGGAGAGAGAGTGATGTTGACAGGTTACTCATGGTTACTCACCATAAGGTTACTGACCTGATCTGTTCCCGTTGTTTAGCTTTGTTAATTGGTGAGCTGGAAGTATAAGCACAGTTTTATGATAGAGGTTTCTCTCTTATTTTCCCTTTTTTTTTTTTACTTCGGACAATTAGCTACTTGAGCATAATAATACAAAGAGGAGAAAAAAATGCGAGGAGCTCTCTCCTCGCTCTTAGCTTGGCCGCTCCGGCTGGGTGGTTGGCTGTGTTAGATCTTCGTTACTCTTTTGTTGCGCAGTGTGGAGAATCATAAGTGTGAATGGCTGCGATCCATGGAAAATATCATAGCCACGCATGATCGAGGCCGAGGCAATTCAGACAATCGTACAGCACGGCTGGTGCCGCCGGCGACCTGTTTAGGGTTGGGTATTCGTTAACAGACTCGAAATACTATCAACCCCAAAGGGGGGCTCTATAAACGAAAGAGATCACAGATGCGAGAGGATGTCAGACCCTCACATGGCTCTTCCTTGATCAGTTTCAGACCTGCCAAGAGGTGCAGGTTGGTTCGACTTAAAGGTTGGAGATTTTGGCTCCCTCCGTCATCGGATGTGGTAGGCGATGAATCGCTGTTATCCACGTCTGAAAGTTCTGTTATTTCGATTGTTAGCCCAAGTAAGGCTACTGATGACCAGTCTGGCTGGATTTCTACGGACGTAGAGCCGACAATCTCTGGGTTGCAGGTTTCCCCGATTGACCGGCCGATGGTTGAATCCCCGGTTTCAAAAGCCTGCACTCCCGCCGGCAAGACCCTCTGGCTGACGAAGCGGGGAGTCTCTCTCCAGTTCCGTGGGATGTTGGGTTTCCCCGTGGTGACGGATGGATCGGGATCATCCCCGGATTTTTCAGGATTGTTGGGTGGTTATGGGGGCGAGCATATCCATCAGAAGAGAATGACTCCATCGTATCCTAGTGGCGTTGGAAGTCCTAGTTCCACTATATCTCTGTTTCGACTAGGCCTCTTACCTATGAGGAGTTGTTTTGAACTGGGTGCAGGAGGTATATTTAAATCCCTGCTGCCTGGGTGGAATAACTTACCTCCAGATCGAATTAAGCTATGTGAAATTACTGTTGTCGAGCCCTTGTCTCAAGCGTCTGCTGCCGGTGTTAGCTTAGGTACGGGGACACCTCTTAAGCCTTTGTCCTGCTCTCCCTTCTTGACAGCACCTATGCCTATGCCTGTTACGCAAGCTCCCTCTTCCCTCGTTACGAGCGTCCTCGTTTCGACGGATAAGCTGTCAGGGCGTAGTACGCTTAAGACTAATTCGTTATTTCTCTCTCTTTGTCAGGGTCTGCGTACGATGACTCACGTGACCGAAGACCAAGTTGTTCAGTTCTCCCTCGAGGAGGTCCAGTCAACTAGGTTTCGAGCGTCCCGCACGCTCCTGGGGAGATTATTCACTACCGATCAGATCACGACTTTGGAGCTGTGAGATGGCCTGCTTAATGCTTGGCAGCTTCGCGGGCAGCTCAAGGTCTCAAGAACTAAACATGGCCTTTTTGAGATAGCGATGCCGAATGAGGAAGCAAAGAAATGGGCGTTAGCACGTACCCCTTGGATCATCAAGGATAAGCTGCTTACGCTGCACTCCTGGTCCCCGGTGATCACCAAGCAGAATTTTGAGGAGATGTCCATAGCCCCATTTCGGATCCAGCTTTGGGGAGTGAAGGAAGACTGCCGAACCAAACTTTTTGGTCATAAAATCATTGCCTCTGTCGTTGGTCAAGTTCTCGACTCAGGCATCTTTGCTTGTAATGAGACGGGAGAGCATTTTCTTAAAGTTCGCACTGTTGTTGACTTTGCTAAGCCTCTTCGATCACAACTGATGGCGGTTAGTGAGGAAACGGATAGCTTTTGGGTAAGTCTCAAATATGAATTCTTGCCCAGTTTCTGTTTCCACTGTGGTCGTGTGGGCCATGCTCAACGCGACTGTGTCTTTGGCCCTCCACAAGGAAAAGAACGGTTCGGACCTCATATGGAAACCAAGAAGTTGGGATGACAAGTCTATGATAATGATGAGCACTCCATGGGGATTGGGGGATCGAGGAATTCGGTCTAGATCAACCGCCAAGCGCGAGGACCGATGGCCGAATCTAGGCGGAAGGATGCCAACAAGGCTGGTCGGCACCACACCAGGGCGACGGTGAGCAGGCCAAGTATTGTACCCCTGCCAGCTGCCCAGGGAGTGGAGGCTCGGGCGTCAGAGGTTATACAGGGGGAGGGGGAGCTGGAAAGGTCGTCGACTCGCCGTCCTAGCCCTAGGGGCTTCGTCCTCAACCGAGTTCCTAAAATTAGAATTGGTGGGGGTGGGAAACCAAAACAGCCTGTTGCAAAAAATGACAACGGCATCCCTGCTCCTCGTGAGAAGAAGGGGTGAAGCCGCCTCCATAAATCACAGCACTCCGGCCTGGGATCACCTCCCAAGAATGTCGTTGCTCAGGTGGCTGACACGGTGGAGCTGTCCCGACGTCGTCGGCTCATCCTAGAACAGGATTCGGATGATGACATGGCTGATCCTCCTCAGTCTAAAGAAAGGGCGGCTTCGCAATGCCCACCACGGGTCCCGGTTGATCTGCCTTGTTCGGGCCATGCGATTTCGTCTACGGATCCTTCGACTGGGAGTTCAAAGCCCTTGAAGCGGTGAGCTCGTCGTGCCGCGTCCAAGGCCAGCTCGTCGGCCTTGCCAGCTGACCAGATTGTGAAGGGTACATGTGGAGTTGTGGAGATTGCTCCCCCCCCCCCAAAGCAAGCTCCTCGGGCTACTCAAAAATTAAGGAAGGCCCAGGCCCTGCATGGGGAGGAGCTCCAAGCAGGTGGTAGCAAGGTTGTTGCTTCCCTCCAATCTCCGATCATAATGGACACCTCGACCAGTGTAGAGGCCGACGAATTACACGGTGGGAAGCAGGCTTGTGCGGACATACCTCCATCCACTGTCGTGGTGAATATGATGTGCAATATCACTCATGAGAAGAGTGACTCGGAGGACTCGATGATGGAGGATGAGCACCAATATTTTGAGATAAAAAAACGAGTCCCGGTGTCCCCCCCACGACTAAGCCTCGCTAGGGCATTGTGGGGAAAGTCTCCCAGGTCGTGGCAACTTTTGTGGCTGAGTTGGCTATTGCGCAGGAGAAGGAGGATACGAGCGGAGCCAAAGGCTCTGTAGTCTATGCTGAGTCGTTGCATAATGGTTTGCCCGAGGAGGGGGCTGGGGACCTTGATGAATATGGGTCGAACATGACCAACCCAGCTTTTGAGACCCGTAAGCGTCCTCTGGCAATCGTTGAGGGTGAGGTGGGAACCCCTCCCACGCCAAAGAGACACTTTATGGAGTTTGCTGATGATAATGAGAAGGTGGAGGAAGCCAGCCTAAAGTGGCCCCAGTCCGATAAATGAAGCTTCTGACCTGGAATGTGAGAGGAATTGGGCCATCCCTCACATTTAAAACTACAGTTGGGTTAGTCCGTTCGAATAAACCGGATCTCTTGTTTTTCTCGAAAACACGATCGAGCCGGCGTGTTGTCTCCCGTCGTATGCGGGGTTTAGGTTTTGATCTTTCTCAGTGTTTTTTCGTGGATACGATTGAGGCATCCGGTGGTTTAGTAGTTGCTTGGTCTCCCGGAGTTGATGCTTCGGTGTTTTAACATTCCAATTTCTGTATTTGTTCCCAAATTAATGAAGAGGATTTTCCTTATATTGTGATTTGTGTCTGCATTAGTTGTAATACTGTTGTTCGAGCTGGTCAATTGGCTCATCTTCGTGAACTTTGCTCCTCCCTTTAGATGCCTTATGTGGTTATCGGAGATTTCAACTCTACCCTTCATATGGGTGAAAAAGATGGTGGTAACCCTTGGAATGTTGCTCAGTCGATAAGTCTGCGGGACTTTGTCCAGGACCTGGGTCTCCATGACCCCGGTTACCTTGGTAGTCCGTTCACTTGGACGAATATGAGGATGGGAGTGGCCTGCATTCGTGAAAGATTAGACAGGGCCCTTTGCTCGCAATCCTGGATAGATCGATTCCCGGAAACCCAGGTCAAGCATTTCACGGACCAAGGATCTGATCATCGAGCTCTTCTGCTTTCTGATAAGCCTTACGCTATAAATAGTCAGCCTCTTTTCCGGTTTGATGCCCGGTGGGCTGAAAA